TGTATTGGATAGCATTTGCGACTTCGTGCAGACCCCAACCCAATAGACTTCTTATTTCTGTCGCTTTTTAAGCTTCAAAATTCAGACACCTCTCTGTCGGAGCATCTTCCGTTCCTGCGGTTTTCGGAGAAGAAGAAAAACCCATTTCTGGCCCTAACCCCTTCAATCGGCTTTTGCCTCGGCTTACTATTTGAAGTCATTGCGCTACCCTTTGACTGGATCCTTTCCATGATTACCCTTCAAAAACTTCCCCCTTTAATGGTGGCTTCTATTCAAGGATGCCCCAGCTTTGATTGATGCAGAGCAAATGAATGCATTTTTTCTTTTGCCAATTTTATTATCTTTTTTTTATCAATCCATTTTTTTTTAATTTTTATTATTTTTTAGATTTTTTTTTGCTTTCACCAGGAAAGGATAGGGAAAGAGTATAATATGATGGGAACGTAAACTGATCCCTTTTTTATTGATAAGACAAAATCTATGTACAAAAGACACTTAGATTTACAAATTTGAACTGAATGAAAAAAACTTGAATGGAAATGAAAATGAAAAGAAAAGAACTAGACGCCTAAAAGATAGACTCTAAGGTGGACTGTGATGACGACTAGCGATTGGATTGACTTGTGTTAGTTGACTTTGTTTCTTCTCGATGCTTAAATCGATCAGACAGAGTTTGTTGTTGGGCTGAAACAATTCCCGTTGTTCTTTTGGGAGGCTTATCTCAACCTTCTCGGCAACAAAACTTATTTATTTCTAAGAAAAGCTTTCGAAAGGGATTCGAACGATTTCTTGGTTCAGCAAATTTTTTTTTTTTGCATTAATCCATGGTTAGGCAAGGATTGGTTCGAGTCAGCTTGCTCTTGGGGGATGATGGACCCATTGTCAACCAAGTCTTAGGCGGTTTTTTCAAAGTCCCAGGCATGATTCTGCTCTTGTATGAGTCTTCTTTGAGTTGACCCAATGATTAAGTCTTTCCACCAGTTGCCAGTCGCAAGAGCGATTGGAACGTGGGCAAGTACTGTGTTTGACATTATGACTGGTAGACAGGCAGTAAAATTCTTGATTATTAGTGTCAACTTGTTCCGTTCAGAGTGTCGGTTGATCCATTGAGCAGCTTTGCTCTCCCACCTCGAAAACAGGAACAGGAGAAGGAACTCATTGTTCTTTTTGTAGTGGTTTCCAGCTCCCTCGGTAACATCCACTTCGATATTATAATGGGTTTCTGCGTGGTTGAAAAGCATTGCATATGTTCCTCCCAAATGTCTTCATTTTGGAACGATCCAAGCTTACAAACCATCTTAATGCCAAAGCACCCAGTTAAAGATTGTTGAAAACAACTGAAGCAAGAAGCCGTTGTTCAGGGCCAAACGGGTTGAGGGGCACCCACATACAATTTTTCAGGTGCGTTTTGGGACATGTGGTCCCGTCCAAACTTATCCATGTTGGGACATTTGAAATTTTGTTTGCAGTCTCGCTTCAGGGAAACAAGGACAAGGAGTCCATGTCCACCACTTCCTTGTGTTTCTGAGGGGCAGTAATAAGACCTTTTTCCAACAATTCCAGCTTCTCTCTCATTTTCTGAGCTTCCAGCTCAGAAGCAGTTCTAGAGGGCATGTTCACCAGGTAAGGGTAGGGTTTGCGGTTCTGCAGCAGGTCCCTATTGGAGGCAGCAGGTCCACTTTCACCTCAGCGGAAGCCCCATTTTCATTACCACCACCTAGTTCAAGCTAATAGTGCAGTCCTCTGGGCAGCCAATGCCTCAATTCATTCTAGCCTCTAATCTGGATCCATTTGTTCTATGGGTTGGATTGTCAGGACAGTTGATGCCATTGGTGCAATCGGCTTGTTGGACTTGATGGGTGAGAGCTCATGGTATGTTTCGGGTACAGCGTGGTCTCGGAGGCGGGTACCTGCTAAAGGACATTAGTGCAAAACGATTTAGATTTATCCTATATACAGGTGTTTTCATAGGTTATGTGATGATAGTGAAGGTTAGGGTAGTGTTGGTATGCTAGGACATCTAGGATAGGGACCCAATGGGGTGGTGATATGTAAGGTGGAGTGCTCTTTAGGGCTAGATCACCTCGGACTTTTCGAAAAAGGCCCTAAGTTCTCAAGAAAAAAAAAAAAATTTTGGGCCTTAGGCCAAAATGTGAATTTTTGGGCCTAGGCCAATTGGGAATTTTTGGGGCCCTTGGGGCCAAAATTGGGAATTTTCGGGCCTCTGTGGCCAAAGAATGTGAACTTGGGCCTAGTGGCCCAAATTGAACTTCTGGCCTTAGGGCCAAATTGGAGAAATTTTGGGCCTCTGTTGGCCAAATTGAAAATTTTGGGCCTCTTGTGGCCAAAATGGGTATTCTTGGGCTTCTGGGGCCCAAATTGAGAAATTTTTGGCCTCTATGGGCCAGATTAGAAATTTTTTGGGCCTCTGTGGCCCAAATTGAAATTTGGGCCTTAGGGGCCAAAATGTAACTTCTGGGCCTTTGTGGCCAAATTGCATTTTGGCCTTTGGGGCCAAATTAAGAATTTTGTGGGGCCTCTGTGGCCAAAATGTAATTTTCCAGGTTCTCAGGGACCCCAAAATGTAATTTTCAAGTCTCAGGGACCAAAATGTATTCTAGCCTTTGAAATGGAATGGTTTTTTTTTTTGAAGTATGGTAAGAAATTGCGTGAATGCGCACAACATCACAACATAATTTCATTTTTAATGAATGATGTCAGAGCGATCATTAGGGCCATACAGTCTCCTAAAGGGATAGAGTTCTATAGGCCTATGACACAAATAAGAATTGGCTTATGAAGGGGACCCTTGGAACCTCGAGTAGGATATACCTAACCACATGTGAAACAAAGAGTTTTCGCGTTGGGTCCAACGGTACGCAATTTACCCATGGCCATCATGGGCCACCCCCAAAAGGATTAGGGGCGGTTTGCGGTAACAGGAAGGACGCTTTGGCTGTCTGTCGACATAATCAAAGAGACCTGTCGATCAGCTCTACTTGCTATCCAGACTCAGAAATTTGAACAGAAAGAGAAGAAATTCATTTGAAATTCATTTTTTATGCAATGGAGAAAAAAGATTATCAATTGTGCAAATAAATCAACAAATTTAAATGTTTTAATCAAATTTGTCAATTAAGTTCAAATCTTCTCCTCAAATATTCTTAAAGAAAGAACACTTGATTCGTGCTAGGGTACCCTGCAAAACAAAACATAGTAAAATAAAACCCTAAAGAAGGGCGGGTTAGTTTACACAGCAATTGTAGTCCACTTTATGAAATGATTACCATAGTCCCAGCAGAGTCGCCCAAACTGTGAACCCCTCCCCAAACATCATGGCATATGAATGCATAGGACTAAGGGTTTAGAAAATGCACGTGAATGCTATGAGTCGCCACCCACCTTGTTTAATTATTTTAGGGTAAACTAGGAAAAAAACCCTAAGTGACTCCAATTTTAATTAACCTAATTGCTAGATTAATTAACCCAAAGATCAAGGTATGGTCTGCGAACCCGAGGTGGATCCTGAGACTATGTCATGCTTGATGAACTAACCTATGAATGAATGCTTTGCAAGGTGAAAGATGATGTAATTTGGACCAATGAAAAATGTTTATGTGATCTTGACTTGTCGCTCGGGGTTAGATCCCAAACGTGCCTACGTACTTCCGTTTGAATGGAAGATCAAAGTCAACATAGTTCGATAGGCCTCTTTTAGAGGGGGCTTTGAATGGGGGATGCTTTATGCATGAGTGTGTGTATGCTTTGGTTGCATTTGTTTAGGCATTTTGCCCCAAAGATTGATTGTTTTAGGATTTGATGCCAAAGATGGTTGGTTTTAATGGCTTTTTAGCCAAAAAAGAATGATTTAGGCAATTGTTGCCCAAAAATTGCATGTGATTAGGCAATTTGTTGCCAAAAAAATTAAATGATTAATTTTAAGGCTTTTAGCCAAAAGATTGATTAATTCAAGGCATTTTTGCCAAAAATGGATTTAAGCGATTTGTCGCTAAAAAAGGGTTAACCTTACTTTATAGGCAATTTGTTTGCCAAAAGTGATTAATTGATTTGTAATATAAGCAATTTATTGCCAAGAAAAACGTGTTTAATTAAGGCTATTTAGCCACAATTATTGATTAATTGGACTTAAAGCCGGACTGTTCGAAATAAAGGCGATTATACTATAGTCATTAATCGACTAGGCACTTTAGCCAATATTGTCGGATTTAGGCTTTTAATACCACGATTATTAATTAATCGGGCATTTAAGCTTAATCATATTGAGGCAGTTTATTTGCCTTAAAGATGTCAATGAATGCATTTATGCAGTAAGAATTATTAGGGAGTAGAAGAGAAGAATGTATTATGAAAGTGCTAAAAATTAAATGAGCAGAGTTTTGTTATTTACCTGACGTTAAACCGTGTGACCGCTTTAGCTTCAAAGCTTGAAAAACTCCGGATTTAAGCTCCTCTGTTTGGGAATATTAATTAGAACATTAATTTAATTTAAGTGGCCAAATATTAAAGCAAGAAAGCAAAAAGGCTAAATTAAAATTACAAGAAAAGCAGTTTTAAAAGAAAAACGCAAGGAGCGCAGGGGAGAAGGAAAGCGTCCGTCAACACAGACGTGTGCTCAAGTGACGAAAACGTTAGTGCGGGGCCTCTTTTATTAGGCGAAATGAGACTGTTCGGCGGCGGGGATTTGTGCGCGGGCGGCTGGGCCGCCGTGGCCGGTGGCTGGGCCGCCGGTGGTCGGTGGTCTTGCTATCTTTTTGCTCCGGAGGCCTTTCCGGGCGCTCCGGACCTCTGAAAAAATTTTCGGGCCCAGATCCGCGATCCTCGCGACGTCCCGGACGTTTCAAGTACCATATTGGCATACTTTCGGTGAACTTCTAAAATGGCCTCCGGTCCGGCCGGACTGTTTGCAGTCCGAGAAAACTGGCTTTTTGAGCCTCAAAATTTGGGGTATTCACAGTTGCCCCCCACCGGCAACCATAAAAATGATTTATGGGAGTCGGTGGTTGTCTGAAATGCAAATTTTGAAGGCGAAAAACAGACGCGTCCAGAAGACCCGCGTTTTGGCCATTTGCTCCGGGCTAAGAATCCAATTTGCTGCTGCATTAGCTACGCTTGCCTCCATGGTTGATGCCAGCCCAGACATGGTCATCAAACCCTTGAATATTCAGATCCATCAACAGCCAGCCTATTACTGCAATCTTACACTTGTAGATGGAAAGCCTTTATTTTGGGATATTCAGACATGGTTGGAAAAGGAAGAATACCTTGAGGGTGCCTCTAAATCTGACAAGAGGACTCTCCAGGAGTTATCAAAATGTTACCTCTACAAGGATGGTATTTTGTACAAATGGACATGGAATCAAGCACATCTCAGATGCGTAACTGAAGAAGAAGCTTAGCAAATGATGGAGTAGTTACATGGCAGAGAAGAAGGCCCCCATATGAACGGAATGGCTCTAGCCCATAAGATCACCAATCATTGTTATTATTGGCTTACCATGCAATCAAACTGCCGCAAGTTTGTTTAGAAATGTCATAAATGCCAGATTTATGCCAAGCTCCAGAAGATGCCCCTTATAGATCTTCATCCTATCTCTACACCGTGTCCCTTTTCAACTTGGGGAATTGATGTGATTGGCAGAACCGTGTCCCTTTTCAACTTGGGGAATTGATGTGATTGGCAGAATCACCCCTAAGTCATCTAACCAGCATGAATATATTTTGGTAGCCATCGACTATTTCACCAAGTGGGTAGAAGCTTCTTCTTACGATGTCCTTAATTCAAGAAAGGTAGCTCAGTTCATTCAGATGAACATTATATGCAGATATGGGATTCCTGTTGAGATCATATCAGACAACGGATCTCACTTCCAGAAAGACGTCTCCATTCTCATGACGAAGTGCAAGATCCAGCACCACCGATCTTAATCAGATTTAGAGCTACCAACAAAAAATAACCAGGCACTTCAACAAAGGAATTCGCAATCGAAAGCTTGAAGAAGGGTGTCTTATGCTTAAGGAAATCAGAGCTCTTGTGCAAGACCCTTGGTGTAAATTCAGGCCGAACTGGGCAAGCCATTATATATTGAAGAAAATCCTCTCTGGAGGTGCTGTCATTTTGTCTAACATAGATGGCAAGGAATTCACCAATCCGTGCAACTTGGATCAACTGAAAAGATACTTTATGTGAATGCATTTAGGCATCAGCACCAGAAATATGGCTCCCCTTTTGATGTCACTGTTAAACAGAACCACGGTGACCTGACTCCTGAAAATATGTTCCAAAGTATGGGATACGTAGGTAGCCCAACCCGTGGGTGGGGTCACAATGATAATAAAAAAATATTTTTGTCCATTTCTCTCATGAATATTTTAGATTTTTTGTGCCAATTAAGGAAAAAAACAAAAAAAGAGGTAATCAAAAATCAAAAGCTGAATTGAAAACCTGCAAAGGGTGGTTTAGGCAAAAACAAAATAAACTAAGTTGAAAACTTGCAAGGGCAAGTGGCTTAGGCAAAATCAGAAAAGTTTGTTGTATACGCTCTAATTTTGCCCTATAAGGTTCAGTGATGATACACCATTTTTTGTATAAATTTGGATCGTGTTGACGCGTGTTTTTATGCCCCCGCCTAACCCAATGAGGATATAAGGATGCGGAATAGGGAATCGGGGTCAACCAGAAGCGTTTTTAACCAAGAATTGATTTAAACCGGTTCAAGGAGTCTAACCTGGGCTAGGGTTGCGTCACGCAGCTACCACCTGCGTGACGGCACCACTAGTAGTTGCCATCACGCAAGTCTAACCAGGATGACATCACATTGGACAAGCATGTGTTAACTGTTTTTGCTTATGTGTGGATACGCGGCCAACTGCTACGAAAAGTGAAGCTGGTCACGCAGGCCTCGGTCCCGTCACGCAGCTGTTAGTTGCGTGACGCAGCTCTGTCTGTGCCCTACCAATATAATACAACATTTTCAATTCTTTTAAATGAGAACTTTTCTCTGGACTTTGCCATTTTAGACTTAAGAGAAATTTGAGAGTTTTCAGCTGCGGGCTAGGGTTTTATCTCCCAAGAACTCCAGTGAGTTACCTTAATGAGATCAAGCCATTAGAGATAAAGATTGAAATAGATTGAAAACACAAAACCAAAAGTCATAAAAAAGAGAAAAAGAGAGAAAAGGAAAGAAAAGAAAGTTTTTCTTGTTAAAACTTGGTAACAAACACTTTTGGGATCGTGAAGCTCTATTCCTAAATCATCTAAACCACATGCAATCCTAGAATCTGAGGGTTAGGTAACTATCTAAACCCTCCTCTTCAATCTTAGTTGTTTAATCTATTAAATATCTCGTTTTATTAGTGTTTGAATAGTTTGGTTTTGATTGAATAATATTCTGCCCGTCATTGGACATCTCTGAGTAATATTAAACATCTGTTAATAAAAAGAACACGTAAAAAGGGTAGTTTGAAAGGTATTACGGACCAGAGCAGCTACGTCACGCAGCTACTACCTGCGTGACGCAACTGTTCATGTCCAAAAGAAGTTGACTTTGCCTAGACCACCTGCGTGACGGAACTGTTCATGTGGCGTAATTTTTATTTCGTTTTTATGTTTTTATTTAATGTTATGTTTTAAATAAGTGATTGATGAATCTGGGAATTTTGATAAAGTCATGAACAGATGCGTCACGCAGTGAGGAGTTCTGTCACGCAACTGTTCTTCATAGAACAGCTGCGTGACGCAACTGTTCTAGGGTTCCAGAATAAACTTCACTTTTTTTTAATTTAATTTCGAGTAATTAGATAAATGTTTAATTTTTAATTCAAGAAATAACCAACAATGGGCAGATTATGTTTTAATCAAATCAAACAAGCTAATTTACTTTTATATATGATTATGAGATTTTAGGATTTATATTGTTCAAGTTGTATTTTAAATCTCAAGTTGTATTTTATAAATCCGGTTTTGTTTGGGCCCGCCTTTAAACCATTAAGGCAAGAGCGGGTTCTTTTTAATTATTATATTGCTATGGGGTGGATGATGGGATGTGATTATAAATGGTTATGAATCTAATGAAATGAACCTAATTTGGGACGATTTAATTAATTTTCCACATAGGAACTCGGTTCGATTTATTCGGTTGGGTTAATTAATAATTGGGCTTTCTAAAATTAAAATAAATTAGAAATATGTAATGTTAAAAGAGGCCGGTTTTTTCGGGTGTACGGCTTCAACGGGCTGACGTAAACCCAATTCCCTTACCGTAGATACCGCACACGCTTTGGCGCCTGACCAGTTCTTTTAAATAATTCTGGCCTTAAATAAAATTGGGTTAAATGAAAGTCACCTTGTATAAAATAATATTGGAAAACGGATCCCCATTGGCCGAAAATAAATGGGTGCGACTCAAATATCTTTCATAAAAGACCGATATTAATCGGACAATCGCGTTCCTAAAATCGGTTCTGTCACCACTTTCTCAACAAAATTCACAATAAATAATAATTCAAGAAAAGTTTTCGCGAGGTCCCTTCCGGGGTTTTGGGGATCTCAATTGGGGCAAAAACGATTGGCGACTTCAACTGAGTTTCTGCGTCCAACTAATCCCCGGTTATATTTTTAAAATAATCTAAGTGGGTATGCAATTAGGAATTGACTCTAAAAGCCTACATTTTCTAAATAAAAATTGAAATAGAAAGCCGTTGGAAATTCTTTAATTCCGCTCCATATGTGTTTATTTGCTTCCTTTTTCTTTCCTAGGATTTTGCATTCATAACCGCATTTCTCTCTTCTCACCATTTCTACCCATATTACCTCCGGTACTGTGTTAACTTTGACGGTAGGATCTAGCCTAAACCTCGCATTTTAGGTAACACTCCATCCGAGAAATTAACGATACTGACCAACGCGCATAGGCCTAGTACCTTAAAAGGTGCGTCAAAAGGAGTAGGCGGCCCAAAACTGTGAACCCCTACCCGCAAATTATCATAAGCATAATGGGATGCAATGTTTGACTAAGGGCAGAAATGCACCGTGAATGTATGTTTAGTTCGCCACTCTGGTTTAAATTATTTTAGGGTAAACTAGGAAAAAACCCTAAAAGTGACTCCAATTTTAAATTAACCTAATTGCTAGATGTATTATCCCAATGTTTTTAAGGCCAAATGGTCCTACGAAACGAAGGTGGATCCCGAGACTAATGTCATGCTGATAAACCTAACCAAATGAATGAATGCTTTGCAAGGAAGATGAAGTAATTGGACCAATGAAAAAAAAAAAATGCTTATGTGATTATCGACTGCCGCTCGGGGTTAAATCCAAAACGTGCCTACAGTACTTCCATTTGAATGGAGATCAAAGTCAATGGTAGTTCGTAGGCCTATTTTTGGAAAGGCTTTGAATGGGTATGCTTAAAAATGCATGAGTGTGTGTATGCCTTTTTGTGCATTTCTGTTTAAGGCATTTTGCCTGAAAATTGATTGTTTTAGGCATTGTTGGCCCAAAAGTGTTGATTGGGCTTATTGTTGCCAATTGAAGAAATGTTTGATTGGGCTTATTGTTGCCAAAATGATTGATTTAAGGCTTTAAAGCCAAAAGGTTGATTAATTTTAAGGCATTTTACCAAAGCTTTGATTTAAGCGATTTGTCGCTAAAAAAAAGATTAATCTCACTTATAGGCAGTTTGTTTGCCTAAAGTGATTGATTAATTTACAATGTAGGCAATTTTATTGCCAGGAAAACGTGTTTAATTAAGGCTATTTGGCCACAATTATTAATTGGACTTTAACCCGGACTGTTCGAAATAAAGGCGATTATACCATAACTATTAATTAACTAGGTATTTTAAGCCAATATTGTCGGATTTAGGCTTTAATAAGGTTTTAATACAGATTTATTAATTAATCGGAGCATTGTAGCCTAAGCTTAATTAAATTGGAGGCAATTTATTTGCCTAATGATGAATGTGAAATGCATTTATGCAAGTTGTAGACATTATTAGGAAGTAGAAGAGAGAGCAATGCAAATGAAGTGCCTAAAATTAAATAGACAGAGTTTTACGTTCATGTAACCTAATTTAATCGATGGATGAGCCTGCTTGAACTCCAGGTTAAGCTCCTCGTGTAAGGGAATATTAATTAATGTTAATTTTTAATGACCAAATAGTAGCAAAGCAGAAGCAATAAAGCAATAAAGCTAAATTAAAAATGCAAAAAAAGCAGTAAAGAATCGCAAGGAAGCGTAGGGGAGAAAGGAGCGTCCGTCAAATACAGACTGAGTGAGTTGAAAGGTCACACCGGGGCCGTTATTTATAGGTGAAATCGGACTGTTTCGGCGGCTCCTGGGCCGCTGGACTCGGGCGGCCCGGAGCCGCCGTGACCGGCGGGCCAGAGCCGATGTGGA